CCTCTTTTTCACAATTCGTTGATAGTTCTCTCTTACGTTTCATTATATATTACCTATAACTATAGAAAGTCAAGGTTTCCATCTATCAAATGGCGTATTGTATAAGATTGTGTTCTGAACAGATAACTGTTAATTTCACTCTGAGTAGCAACATCCTTCCCGTGGGAAAGTTAAGGACTAGCTTGGATGAATTTGTAACGGTTTTTGTCACGTAGTTAGAAAGTCAGGAAACATTTTACAAGTAAGTGAATTTGTTTACTTTTTGCATGTTATTAGTCTACATTCTTTGGTGTATTACTTAATTAGCTAAAAAAATTTAAATGCTTTACTATAATCACTAAGAAAAATCAAGCTTAACTCTCCTCGACAATCGAGGGCAAGATAAAAGGAGATTGGGTAAGTACTTTATTTCTTGTTTTTCATATTTATTCTTTATTTATTATTATAAAAGTAACTAAAATTAAAAGTACGGATTTTTTAAATTATTTAAGACTAGATTAGGTAAAATAAGTAATAATAATATAATTAAAATGGTTCACGAGTCACGCAAGCGAGCAGCTCGTGGATAATGTAATTCGATAGCTTAACGTGAGCTGCAGGTTCTCAGAGTGATTTACAACTTATAATGGCGGGGATAGCAATTAGACATGGTTCAAAGGGCAATAAAACAATGAAATTTAATTTTAAATAGATGTATAATGTTATGAACTTAGAGCTACTTAGGATAAACGAATGTAGTTTCAGGTTGCAATTTGAAGTCATTCTAGAAAGAAAAGAAGGTTAATTTAGGTTTATTTAGATTTTTTTGGTGGTTACGAGGTCGGTCGAATTGACCGATCCCGTTTTGAGATAGGGTAGAGAAAATGACATATAAACTATAAGGATTTAGTGAAAAAAACGTTTGAAATGCATTTAGGAGGTTTTAAGGATTGCACAAAGGAAATTTTAGATTTTTGCGATGACGAAAAGTATTTTAATTTTAACACGAAAATTACTTTGCACACGGACTATTCAAAACAAATACTCAATATATTCACTGTCCATGAATGTCAATGGACAGTGTCCCTATCTATTATCTAGCGAAACCACAGCCAAGGGAACGGGCTTGGAAAAATCAGCGTTCACTTGGCTGTGGTTTCGCTGATTTTTCCAAGCCCGTTCACTTGGCTGTGGTTTCGCTAAATAGTAGATAGGGACAGAAATATGACTTTTTCTATGTGAAAGACTTGTAATATTAAATGAAAGACTGCCAAATTTCGTGAAGATATACTCAATATATAGAGAGTTATAAGTATTAAATTTATATCAACTTTAAACAAGTACAAAGGTCACGTGACTCGGTCAAATTGACCGACCCCGTGTTTGGAGAGTTAAGGAGAAACTTGCATATGTGACAAAAATTACTTAAAACTGGGGTGTAAGAGAAAATTTCTCATACCTAATGTTCGATGTTATACAACTGTAATACAAAGCAATTTATAAAACAGAAAAAAATAAAAATATGAGGGAGTGATCAGAGTTATGCTCCGATATTTGTTAGATAAATACATGCTGAATTATACTTTATAGTTCATTCGGTAGATGTGAGTTTGGTGAGAACGAACATATTTCATTGAATAACGTTGTCCATAGTGATATTTATCAGATAAATTCTGATATCGTGTATTCAGTAATATATATTCTTTAAGATATATGGTATTTCTTCAGAGTATATACTAGTGTTTCAGTCTCGCCACATTTATGTGTAAAATGTTTGCTTTTAAATTATTTTATTATTTAAAGAACTGCAGTTTTCAGGAATTGTTTTTTTTAATTTGGTAAAAAATTATTTGCTAATAATAACTTTCAAAATTAGAGAAAGGTTTTAAGCTATTTTCGGTCGATTGAAAAAAATGTATTCCTGGTTTTAGATATCAAAATACCGTACACATTGATATTTTAAATTGTTGAGAAATACAACTCAATGGTTTGTGATGTTTTCTACACATCTATAAAAATACCAATCCAATAATTCAAGCGTTTTCGAAATTGACACTCGAGATACTGTTTTGTATTATTCATCACTCCTAATATATATACCTTATGATGATGACTAAGTACTTGATCATTTCTGGTCAATTAAGGGTGTACTTCTAGTTCAACTCAATGAAGGGGACCACGTACAAGTATCACAAATATGTAACAACAACAATTGCGACATATTCAAGTTACTGTTTATAATTAACATTTGGTTTTGGGGGTTGGGGTGAAATAGAAAGTAAATAACTGTTCATAAACAATTTTCAATCAATTTGAAAATTTTCCTTTCTTAAATTAGTAAATTATTGTTATCATAGACTATGGACTTCGTGTATTCACCTACATACGTATAATATAGGTAAATGAACACATCTTATGTCCATGTAGTTCAACACTGCCGTCCTTAATTTTGAATTATGGACCAGAATGAAAACATCCAGTCATCAGCATTCGCCTACTCTAGACTGAATAGTGAGATTTTCTGTCACTTTTATAGAACACCTGCAACCGAAAGTGCAAAGAGTGTTTTGTGTTTAGTAATACCTCGTCTCGAACTGGAGACCCTCTGATCTCCAGTCCTATACACTCTTTAATCAATAGATAATCTCAGGCCCTTTGACCCTGTCCGATACACTCACTAATCAATCGATAAACTCAGGCCCTTTGACACTGTTTCTCGTGTTTGTGCTTTCAAATAAATATTCTTTAAAATGTTCACGAGATAAAAAATATATGAAATGTTAAAAAATTAATGTTTCTTATTGAAAAATCTCATACAGGAGATACATTGAGATACCTATATTAAGAATAATATTTTAAAAGAAAACATTTTAAAAATATAGGTGTTAGCAGGTGATCAAATGAAATTCAAACGTATGGTAATAAAATTAACGTTAAGTATCTGATTTAAAGCGAGAGTTATTCTGATCATGATTTAACGTAATTCAGTGAACCAGGAGTTGACTATTTGTTAACATATCAGAAGTTCTAAGGTTCGAGCCACGATTGCCATAGGATACTCTTTGTAGTTTCGGCTGTAGAATTGTTTTGACTGTCAATTCCGCATAGGTGGCAGGTAGCGCTGAGTTAATGCTCTTTTGACTGAAAGGTAGTTCTAAACTTGAAATAGCTATGCCCGAACCTTACAACTAATAGTTCACATTTCATATTCGACAACACCCTCTTTGAACGAATAGATGGCGTTGCGATAGGCTCCGCGCAGAGTCCAACGTTATCTAATGTATTTCTCTCTTATCACGACCAGAAATGGCTTGACACCTGCCCCGCTGACTTCAGACCTATCCTTTAGAGATGGTATATAGACGAAACTTTTATTCTTTTTCACAATGAAGATTACTGCTCTTAGAATACCTGAACTCACGACATCCTGCCATTAAATTTACATGAGAAGTTGAAAATAATAATTATCTACCTTTTTTATTTTTTAGACATTCTCATTAAACGTAACACTAATTTATTTTGTATATCTACAGGAAAAAAGACGTTTACTAGACTCCTTACACAATTCGATAGCTTTATGCCGCTTACATACAAAATAAATCATGTAACCAGCTTATTAAAAAGAGATTACAACATGTTTTCCACGTATCATATTCTACACTCAGAGATTTCCTTTCACACATGATACTCAAAATGAAACGGCTACCCACAACATTTATTTTAAAAATTACCAATACATTTCTAACTAAGAAACTCACAAATCCATCTGAACTACCAACAGTGCCCAAACTCATTATGTACTTTTGTCTTCCATACATTGGTAAACAAAGCTTAACTTTAAAATGTCAAATTAAACGTGTACTTAATCGTAAATGTCCCCAAGTTTAATTCAGATTAGTTTTTAAATCCACCTTATGCTATACAGGATGTTTACCGCACTAAAAGCATTCTTCCAATTTATTTTTGTTCGTGACTTGTATATATTTACACGTATGGAGATTATAAGGTCTTCTATATTGGCAAAACCAAACGCCACCTAATAATTAGATTCAATGAACATGCGGGAAATTCCATGAAAACTCAAAAACTTAAACTAGCCCCTGGGCTACCTCTGTACGCCAACATAGTACAGAAACAGGACAGGAACTTAACTTACCAAATTTCACTAATACTATATTTATATTTTCAAGGTTTCACAGCATCATATACTAAGATACTAGCTGAAATACTCGTCAACTGACGAGGAATGTTTAAATTTCATTAAAATAATGTAAGTTTAACAACAATCATATATTTCTAAGTAATAACTTGAACATAAACTTTATATCAAAATTTTAAAATTATAACAAAGTTTCTTCATAAGTAACATTTGCAGTTTGCTTTCCATCTACCAACAAATAAAGATTTTGATGTGATCTCACTCTTGAACACCCTGCATATCATTGACCATGAGAAAAACATGGTTATTTTGAGAAACAATCCAGCAACTTTCATACTTTGACCTTGAATCCCTTTAGAATATTTAACATTGTCTAAAGCGTCAACCTGTCAAGATTGTTTGAAATTGACTCAATAGGCTGGGATTAATTAACGAACAGGCTTTATAAAATAGAAATATGGTTAAATTCAATTTCCCATAGTTCATAGTGCTTAAATACAAATTTTGGTTGCGATTGGCCCAATAAATTTGGAGGAGTTAGAGTCTTTATGTATATATTTATATTTTCAATGCTTCACTGCATCATAAACTAATATACTGTCAGCTGTTTCATTAATGTTGTATTTATATTTTCAATGTTTCACAGCATCACGAAGTACAGGTACGGCCTGATGTTTTCATTAATGCTGTATTTATATTTTAAATACTTCACAGCATCACTAATTACAAGTGTTGTTAGATGTTTTAATTAATTTTGAATTTGTATTCTCGACGCTCCACCGCATTATGAACAATAGGTGCTATCAGATATTAAAGTTATATTAGTCGTTATTTCTGGACATGGTTTCAGTTTTTCATTAAGAGTTGGTAACTTTGAGACCGAATGAAATATGTTCAGATGTTTCACGGTGTTAATCGTAGATCGTAAATTTATTGCTTTGTTGCAATATGAAATCTGTGATTCATACGTCTCAGAAATGGCTGTCTTTAGCATATTCTGCTAATATTTTGACAAAATGATAGAATACATAACATTGTTAAACTTTCAAGGTAACTCACCTGATCTAAGAGACAATTAGCAGTGGACACGTACTCTTTTGGGTACGTTGCCCAAATGTAAGCCGAACCAGTCTCTCCTAGAACTGTTCTATTACCACCATCATACCAATTGAGAGCATCTGTTCAAAAGCAGAATTATGAAATTAATTTGATAGGTATACATATTATTGTACCATTAGCATGAACATATGGAAAGCCATTTTAACATATCATTCATAAAAAATAAAAACTCTAAGACTGTTCATTCGAGTCTTGGATATTTTGTGAAGGCACTTTAAACTCTAAACATATATACGCTGCTTTATTATTTAAAATATATGCAGCTGTTAACGGTTTTTCGTTTGTTAATATACAGTACTAATATATATACATATATGTGTATATAGACAAAATATTTATATGAATGGGTATAGGTTCGTCTGATTCAAAATTCTAAGAGATTTTAGTGAGTGATACAGAATATTTAAGGTATCTATCTACATAACTATTTATCTACGCATATAGCATTAGTATTCTAGTATACATTAGTATTTAAAAACAGCTTATCTTATTAATGATATTGTTTGTATTGATGCTTTTTATAAGACTTACGTCCTCACAGGCAACATAAAATCATGGTGTTTCTGTAATTTGACAGAGGGTCCTATAGTTTGTATAAACTATAAGCTTCAACTAAGTTGAGTTCAGTACTGGGTGAAATTCACCCTGTTTTGCTAACAGACACTTGACCCTCAGTGGATATTGGATGTTTCGCAGCAGGTAGAAGAGTTCTACCTCCGACATTATCAATGGTCTGTACTCTGTCTCTATGCTGTCATACTGATTCTCCATCTTTCACTTTTCCAAGCTACGCTATACGTATTTTGTTTTTCAACAGTCTCATTCTGAAAGTCGATGGAGTTTTCGTAAGAGCATATCAACTCCTCATTTAGCTTTACCACTGCATAGTCTTGTACATACATCCACATGATGGTCTCAACATAAAGTTACTTAGCTTTCTATCATTCACCATCAGAACCAACCACTCTGAATTTCACCTAGCACTGCTTGTGAGTCAGTCACAAATATAACTTTTGTGGCATTGTGTATTTGTAGTATGTTGTTTTCAGTAATCCAGAGGAGAGTTTTCTTCCAAGTCCACCCTTGTGTTATTTGTGGTTAGCTTGAATGCTCCACCAGCCTTGTGTAGAACATTGTTGATCCGTGAAACAATGAATTACCAGCCATCTGTCTCACTATCCGTAGAGTATGAACCATCTGTGGCTATGATGTCAGGTAACTGTTCACTATGATATTTAACTAGGTAGTAATAGGCTTTATATACTTCACCCAGTTTCCAATTTCAAAAGCTTCTGCCTAGGTTGACTTCCACAACTCCAAGTGGCAACAACTGTTTATTCCAGAAGGGGAAAAAGTTGAGATCAGGTGGTAACAAATTATCTCAGTGATGTCAGTATAGCATCTGTCCACTCGTGACTGTTTCCTGAGGCACATTAGGCAATCCCTTGCTTATTTTAAGGACTGAACGTCATTGTGGAATTGGAATGTCGCAACTGAAAACGATAGTGGCTCGATGATAGAATGAGGATCTTTACACTTAAAGACACTTGTAAAGAATTTGCTTATAACTGTTGTTGGTGTTCTGTGATGCTGCAGAACCTTGTGAGGTGTCACAGGGCTTTCATGGGAGTAGCTGAAGTACATCCCAAAACAAGTCTTAAACAGGTATTTTGTATCATTACAGTCTTATATTTTTATCTGTGCAGCACTTATACTGATTACTAATAGTGCATAATCCAAGATGGAGCAGATTGCAACTACGATTCACCTTATACATGTTATACTGATGTATATTCTGAGCATTTAGTCATTATTATAGGAATGATGGACTCTACTGGGGTTTCTTAAAGATTTAAAGTTACAGTCAAGGTGTTCCAGCCCAGCTTCAAAGCCTTCTAATATATCATCTGCAAATTCAGAAGCATTCATCCTGGTTTCTATTCCACTGTGATAACCACATAATGATGGTAGTAGTAGTGTTTCGGTCTGTTAGGCCGGTCTACTAGCTCATTGGTGTATTGTAAAAAGAAAATAAAACCTTCTCAACAACTTGTAGATCATACACAGATTTACAATGGATGCATTAGGATCAACACGCTAGAGGAGTCTAGCACTAACCAAAGCACAGGCTCTCCTTTCCCCAATAATAGAGTTCTGTCACAAATCGTCCTCACAGTGCAGTCCAGATGTCGAGGCACTAATTATGAATTATCAATCACTAGGAAACAACCAATTGGTGTGGATCACTAACTTGCTTATTTATTAGCCTCTCGGCGGCACAGAGGTAAGTCTGAGCGCTTATAACTCTAAAAATCGGGTTTTGGTACTCGCTTTTGGCAGAGTACAAGTAGCCTGTTCTGTAGTTTTGTGTTTAATAAAAAAAAAGAAAATCTTATTTGTTATGTTTATCTATTTCGTTTTATCTGAATATTATAATTTTTTATTACTCAATTAATTTTGTGAATATTTTTATATATTTTATTAACACAAATAATCAAGGTAATTCCATACTATATTTCAACACTATTATACATTTGAAGTATTTGACATCGGCCTTGGCACAAGATCTCTACTATCCGACCAATTTTTCAAGGTTCTTCTAATAATAAGCCCAATAGATCAAGTAGCAATAATACTTCGACTTAAAAAAACAAGAGAAATAACCAAGTCGAAATGTTTACCTTCCTAATTATAAGCTATACTTTAGTATGTATATTATATATGAATATTTTATATTATACATTAAATATAAATGAAATATTATATGTTTTATTTTAAATATTAACATTTTACCAAAGTTTAGTAGTCTGTGTGAAAGTAACTATCGTTCATAAAAGCGTAGAGAAAAGTTATAAATGTATCTGCATTGCTAGGCCTAAAGTTACCACATTAGATCTAATTGTATCTTCAGTAAAGAATAAATTGGAATCCTAAGAGCATGAAATCGAAATAATCTGGAGAAAAAATCGTTAATTACCTAATGTAGATTAAAATGTTGTATAAATAATTAAAATATTTATCCGTAACCAATACTATGTTTGTTGTCAATTATATAATCCGGCCTTAATTATAGTAATAAATAAAATACTATATGATTCTACTATCTCTTAAGTCGTTATAACCTTACTAAGTTGTAAGAAGTAATGATGGCGAACTACTAAACGTAATTCAAACACTTTATATATTATTTCTTCAGTAACAACGAAGATAAACACTAGTGCTCCCAGTCAGATTAGTCTTGTGTTTATATATTTTGATTTATTTAACCAAAGCAATTTATTAGTAAAACTGTGTCAACAACAACGGATGTAGCATTTTCAACAAAGTGATAGTGATGAGATTCAGTTTATACAATTTACGAAGAAAGTTGTTCTAATAAGGTTAATAATTCCACTTCATATGTTAAATTTTAATAAACTCGAAATAACAGCTTTAATTTAAATATTAAGAAATCCAATGCTTTTGTTTCCCAAAACGAGAATTCAATGTATTGAAAAAAACGTTAAAGAGGGTCTTGAAAACATTAGTTTTGCCCTTTTCTTTTTTCACTCAATTTGATATCATATTTATAAATGTTCACGCCTTAAGTAAGATGAGTGAATACTGCTTTTATAAATTTCATTATGTGCTTAGTGGGTCAATCCCAGTAGAACAGTACACGAAGAATAATTTATGATAATTTGGAGCAAAGGTTGAAGGATAGACATAAAATTTACAAATTTCAGAAATATTGCGCAACGCTACACAAAGAGTTATCTGTATATATACAAGTCCCTAATTTTAAACTAAAAGACAACTAGTCAACTAGGGAAGGCAGTTGTTGTCAAATCTTGGCTATGTTGTCTGACCCACGGGTGGGATTTGAACATGACTCTTACAGTCCATCCATAGCCCTGAAATTCTGGCACGTTTTGTGTCAACGAGTTTCGAGCCATGCTCCATCTGTTTCTTAGTCTGGGCGTGCTAACTTCGATCAAGTCCGGCCCACGTTATCAAAAGTTCTGCTAATTTTAGCAACTGTTCATGTACTTTTTATTAGTGAGGTGCTCTAATAGCTGCACTGGAGATTTGATATACACAAAACATCTAGTTAATTCAAATTCACCTAGCCTTAATAGCAAAAAAATAAGATTAATTAAATGAACTATTTATAATTATATAAATGCTGCAATTTTATTATTTCTTGTTGTTTCGCTAGAGGCCGTCCTTGGTATTTACAATGTAATTATATAAATGATGCAATTTTATTGTTTGTTGATGTTTCACTAGAGGGCGTCCTTGGTACTTACCCTGTTGCTAAGTTACGGTAATCAAATAATTTGATTGAGTAAGAATCTCTGTGGAAAGTAATAACTTGATTTAGCAAAAACAAAACTGTGCTGTAATGCCAGGAATGTATTAATGTATTACAGTAAAGCAAAATTAAGTGGATTGGACGTTCGCGGTATTAAAAAGAATAGTAATGAGTAAATTATAAGTAACTCTGTCATCTTTTAATGTGGTTTCTGTTGCTAATGGTGTAATATTAATAAGCGACAAATAGTTAAACCGTTCGTAATATTTTTATTTAAATTGCTCTACCCTAACGAGGAATGCTTAAGCATTTCCATATACTAGTAAGCAATTATAGTATTTCGATACTTCTGCAGTATTTTTCATTATAGAAGTTTATTTTTCATCTCAATTTGATAGTATTAACTTTTTTTTTCAAATGTTTCTATCTACATGTTACACCAATTTACGAAGTTTTAGATCGTTTATCAGAGAATATCTTGATATTGGACGGTAATTTTGCAATGTAACCTTAAGGAAGTCGTAAAATCTATCTTATTTAATCAATTTTTAATTTCAAGTATTTCAATTTTCAAACAGGTACACTGAAGCAGTAATGAATCTCATTAGTCCTTATTTTCGAAATTTTAGTACATTTTTACCTTGACAATTTTTACCCTAAATGATAGTCCAAATAAAATACATATCATCTTAATTTGTACGAACTAAGTGTTGTAAGCAGATTGACTAAAATATATATATATTAATAAAGTTTAATTACTGAACCTTTACAAATTAAAACAGTTCAAATCAATCATCAAGACACTATCTATACAAAAAGAAATTCAACATACTTACCTATATAATTAAAATATATGATGGCAGAAGCTACAAAGGCTCCCAAGTGTTGAGCGACCAGATACACGGGCACTTTCTTCCAGGGAAATTTGCCTAGGGATGCAAATGCTACAGTAACCGCAGGGTTGATGTGACCACCTGTTATAATAGTAATAATAATAATGATAACTAGTAATAATAGTTTCAAGAATAATAAAGTAAAGTAGTTTAGATTGAAAACTACAAATCATGTTGAGTAAACATTTGAAAACAACCAATCGAAAAACAAATACTCTAGACTGTATTTTGTTTTTGCTTTAATAAATTGAATTTACTAGGAGTGATATTCAGCTAGTAAACCAATAAGTTTTCTGTATATTTAATTTATTTATATATATAAAGCATAGAATGGAGAAGTTTTTACTCGAAATCATAAATCTTTAAGACTGCTGAAATTAAATCGGTTTCTTATTGAAGCTAGATCGATGAAGCTAAATACTGTCTAGTACTATTAAAAATTACGCTATATTATATTAATTTCAAAGTTTCAATACATTTTTTTAATGTTTTAATCAATCTTCTTCACCATATTTTTATTCGCTTAGCATTTCTTGTACTATACATCTTTAATGCTTAAAAGTGTTTAAAATTTAACACACACGTTCTTTGAAACTTCGTGTTGTTTTTGTTTTTTTTATCTATACCTGAAACTCCCATAGCTGTGGCCAGCCCCATCATCACTCCAACACCCCATGCGAAAACAACAGCAAAAACATCACCGACACCTCTCTTTTCAAGAACAGTCTGTGCAAAAGCTGCGCCTCCAAACAACTGTGAGAAAAAACGGCAATTTATAATAAGTGAATAAAGAAGTAAATAACACTTTCTACGACATGTGACATGTGACGCAGCGTTTCCAAATTTTAACGAAATGGCTTAATATTACAAATACAATTTTATCTTAAAGAAGTTGAAAGATATTGCATAAAAATCTCATAAATTAGCTGATCATATAGATGTTTTGTTCGAAGTAGTCTCGAAATATTTAGATAATACACACAAATTATGTTTAATATCAAAAACTGTTGTTGTTTTTTTGTTGATGAAAAAACTCGCAAATTCAAACACCATAAAATCGTGCCTGGCAAATTTCTACTCAAACTGGAAAAATAGAAATCTTTCGATAGTGTGGTTTAATGTTTTCCTTGCGTTAGTAGGATTACGTCTTTACCATAAGTAGGCCCGGCATGACCAGGTGGTTTAGGGCGTTCGACTCGCAATCTGCGGGTCGCGGGTTCTAATCTCCGTCACACCAAACATGCTCGCCCTTTCAGCCGTGGGAGCGTTATAATGTGACGATCAATCCAACTATTCGTTGGTAAAAGAGTAGCCCAAGAGTTGGCGGTGCGTGGTGATGACCAGCTACCTTCCCTCTAGTCTTAAATTGCTAAATTAGGGACGGCGAAATCCATAACAAACAAACAATTTACCATAAGTATGTAGCTGAGCTAACGATGAGAGATATCATGAAATATTGCAATTGACAAAAGTTCTCGTAAACATATATATATATATATAATTCCACCAACCCTACATTGCAGTTAAGTAACCAAGCCTTGAAAAAAATATAACTATTGATATGAGACGATCTCAAGTATTCTTTACAATTTTCAAGTTTAAAATTTCGCATAATCTACCATTTTCGGGATCTTTACTAACATTTTGTGAAAATGTGGGATGCCTGCTAGATATAATAATCATCTGTGAACTAAGCGGTAGGAAATAGTTTCGAATATCAAGATTCCCATATCTGATATAATTAATAAACTATTTATAAATACCAACAAATAATATTTTTAAGAAAATACTCAATCGCAACCTTCTTTTATTTGGTGAATTCGGATATGTTCTTTTTTGCCCCAAATTAGGGGGAATCTATCTTCTATAAAAATTTGGCAACTCTTCTAGAAAAAGGAAGAACTTCAAAGAGCATGAACAATGCAGCTAAAGCGTCATTTTAATTGTAAGACATCAATGACGAAATATATCGCCCAGTTTATAGCTTTCGTTGGTTTAAAACGGATTTGGAGAAGAATGTTTTAAGATATATTTGAAACTACATCAACATTTGTTGAACTTCCATCTGTTCTTATTGGGATAAAGTTCGAAAAAAAGAATGAAATATGAACAGTTGTTTCGTCAGTATACTGAAAACTAGAAATGCTGACTAATTTCTTATTCACCATTATCAGTTTAGACTTGCATCATATTGAAAGGTTTTGAATGTTAAATTATTAATTTATATACCATCAGATACTACATGTGTATCTGAACTTTAGATATAAAATGGTTCTCAGAACATGCGTTATTCTGATCATTCAAAACATGTGTTTAACAGATTTTAATTAATCAATGAGTTCACTTTGTGAAAACGTTTACTCAACGAGAACAAATCTTCAAAACTCAAATTATGTGGATTTTTCGTTTCGTTATAAGTTTTAAACAACTGCGTTGCTAAGCATCTCATTTCAGAAATTTGTATTTTACAAAATTATTTAGTACAAAATTTACGAAAATATGCTGTGTAATTCAAATACCGTCAGAAGAAGAGAGAAAAAAGACGCAAACCAAAGACTTAAGTCTGCAGAGATTGCCCATTGTATAGCTTTGTGCCTAACTAGAAACAAACAAACAAGTGTGATTTAAATAATGTGATTATTACAGATAATTAACTCAAATTAGGTACTTTTACAGGCACTATATTTTGACACTTTTTTTCCTTATGACATATTGTTATGTGTTATCTGTAGATTAATAATAAATCGATTATGAAAGCTTCAGATTATTCTAAACTTAGATCAAAGTTAATGTATGATTAACCGTAGAGCTTTGCTGATCAAATCTGATATCATTTAACAGCAGTTGGTGAGTTTATATTGTGTTTCTTGTTTGTGTTTACATACATATCTTGGCTCCAGAAGTATCGTGGAAGTTTATTTTGATGAGAGGAGTGAGGAAGACTTTGACTCTCTTTAATATTTCTTTTGCCTGACCTAACAAGTATGTATGACACCCAGGGCTACAATTTGTAAAATGTTTTTCTTATTGATCTTCGTTGAAACGAAGAAGTAGAAACTCCCATGACACTTTGTTTAGCACTCTGCGTTTTTTTAGTGTTATACCTTATTCTTTTGATATTATTTTACTTTTTTACTTGTGTATGGAAGTACACTATACTAACGCAATAGGTAATTAACAACCAACGACAATTAGTACTGCTTCATATAAGGAAATGTATAAATGTAGTACATTTACCATTTGTCATTTACTGCTATTCGTCAAAGTTATTTTGAGTTTTATTCGAGTTTTAATTTCAAATATCATTGTACTTACGAATCGTTAACTATTAATTTACTACTTCAAATTTTTTCTTAAAATAAATATTTATTTTTTTAGCAGAATTTTCCCTTTCTCTCTTCATTAGCGCAGGTCCTTAGTTTGGTTTATTGTCTGTTTAAATGTTGGAATAGGAAACTTTATATTTCACACATTTGGATAATACATTTTTGCTATATTAATCTTTATATAATTATGATTTTTAAAACGTTCAACTTTTTGTAATCGTTAATACTCAAGTGCCCTAAATATTACAACAGCCTTCTATAGTTGTGATAAGCTAACATCTTAAAGCTAAGTATAATCAACTTTTTTATTAAAAATAAAGTTAATGCTATATACATTCAGTCATTTACATAATAATACTTTTACAAACTTTATATTATACTTTTGATATTTTTATTGACTGTCATCTGTTGTAGATTATTTATTTATGTACAGGTAGTGGAGAAAAAAAAGGAAACATCTGGGTAAATGAGGGACAACGAGTATATAAGGTGTCGCTTGTCCATTAAGTAAGCAAATAACGTCCCAGCATGCATAGAGTCATGTATTAAAAAGGGTGGACAGGCCTGGTTGCTTATAATCATGGTTAGCATAGCTGCAAAAGGAGATCTCAGTGACTTTGAAAGAGGGATGATTGTTGGGGAGCGTTTGGCGGGAGCTTTAGTGTGGCGCCAACCTAAAGAACTATACAGCCCTGAGTGCTTGGTTCCAACAGTGAAGGGTTCTGGTGGTTCCGTAATGGTATGGTGCGCATTTTCCTAGCATGGTTTTGGTGCACTCATGCCCTTAGAAGGCAAGGTCGATCCAATAGTTACTTAATGATACTGAGTGATCATCTTCACCTCATGTTACAGCATTTCTGTCCTGCAGGGAGGGGTGTCTTTCAAAATGACAATGCCCCGTCCACAGAGTCCTCCAATGGTTTGATGAGCATGACACTGACGTTATCCATATGTTATGGCCTTCTCAATCCCCAGATCTGAACCCAATCGAGCATGCATGGGATATTTTGGAACGATGCCTGAGACAACGTTTTCCACTTCCATCAACTAGTCGTGAGTTGATTGACTTCGTCGTGGAAGAGTGGTGTCGCATTCCTTCTGCAGGATTCCAGACACTGGTAGATTCTATGCCGCGGCGCATACAGGCCGTACTGGTCGCACGTGGTGGTTCAACACCCTATAAGGGACTTTACATTGGTATTTCCATTTTTTTTTCACTACTTCTATGTATATTATGTGAACTATTTGTCAAAACCCCGAAAGATTCAGATATATGGTAATTTTGAACATCATATAACCCATTCGCATATACCAAAGTTTTGTTATTATTTTGGAAACAAAAAATATCAGTAAGTTAAATTGAATTTAAATACTTTAGAAGGGTGGAATGGCTCAATTAGGTGCTTACACAGATACATAAATAAGCTGCTGACGGTCGAAATACCGTCGTACCATCTCTAATGGATGGACCTAAATAGAATGATTTGATACATGTAGTTGTAAGAATTTTTGGCGTGCATTAAGATCTTAAATTAGAAAGGAGGTGCGATTAGCTACAGTACTTTACAAGGCTTTAGTGTAAGACATAAACTTGTTCCACTATTTTAAACCTTAAAAAGAAAGTAAAGTCTAAATAGGTAATCGAATAAAGTTAACTACTGATAAACTGCACAAATAACAATTAAAACCACATATCAACTATTTGTGTTTGACCTCCTCGTGTTCATTATTCATTTGAAGATGTCAGTGTATTATGTTCATTCGTAACAATAGAAACTGTCGCAAAACAAGAACAATGTAAGACGCGTCTTAGGTCTTGTGTAACACATTTGTTTATTTCTTGGGTGGCACAAACACTTATAATATTTGTAAAGAGAATTAAAATAAACATTTCTCGTCCCAAGATTTATATAACATATAATTCTAAGTAGTACATTGTCCCACTGGTGGACGTTTTCAAACACACCTGCTAAAGACAGATGTCTGCTTTCAAATATCTGTTGGAATAATTATTCAAGTTTTTTATCATTAGTGAGTAGATAGCTACAACTAGCTCACTGTATGATTTTCTACCCTTACGAATGCATGAAACAAAATAAAGCATCTATTTTTTGTTGAAGAGACGTATAGACTTATAACTCTCATGCACAAATCTGAGAGGCAACAATACGTTACTAATATTTTCAGAAGTATTTAAATTCCTAATGAAGTAGAATTCGACTTTGGTTTAATTTTTTGTTGTTTTTCAGAATATGTAATGCATACTGGAGGGATTTGGACGTTTTGGTAATAATAATACAAAACTTTTTATTTCAGCTAACGTTTCACTATTGCGGCTTCATCAGGGCTAGTGCTGCTCAACAATTCTTGTACTTCTAACCCTGATGAAGCCGATATGGCAAAACATTGCTAAAATAAAAATATTTT